GCTGTTGGAGCACTCTTAAATGATTGTTCACGTTCGGTTTAACTATATGCTTTATAAGACCTACGATAACTTTTATAGCACCTTAGTTAAACTGATTCACAAGAGCTATACAGAACGTGGAATAAACGCATCAAAACAAACAATTGGGAGCTCTTATAAAACACCTGAGTTGATCAAACGTTGAATAATAGCTTCCAGAGTTGTACAAGAATGTAGTTGTATTGCCTTTTTGGTTAAAAGCTTCAAAAGCTGCTTGGAGCACTCTTAAATGATTGTTTACGTTCGGTTTAACTGTTTGACAGGAGCCATATAGAACGTGGAATAAACGCATCAAAACAAACAATTGAGAGCTCTTATAAAACACCTGAGTTGATCAAACGTTGAATAATAGCTTCCAGAGTTGTACAAGAATGTAGTTGTATTGCCTTTTTGGTTAAAAGCTTCAAAAGCTGCTTGGAGCACTCTTAAATGATTGTTTACGTTCGGTTTAACTGTTTGACAGGAGCCATATAGAACGTGGAATAAACGCATCAAAACAAACAATTGGGAGCTCTTATAAAACACCTGAGTTGATCAAACGTTGAATAATAGCTTCCAGAGTTGAACAAGAATGTAGTTGTATTGCCATTTGATTAAAAGTTTTAAAAGCTGTTGGAGCACTCTTAAATGATTGCTTACGTTCGGTTTACCTATATGCTTTATAAGACCTACGATAACTTTTATAGCACCTTAGTTAAACCGATTGACAAGAGCTATATAGAGCGTGGAATAAACGCATGAAAACAAACCATTGGGAGCTCTTATAGAACACCTGAGTTGATCAAACGTTGAATAATAGTTTCCAGAGCAAGTTCCAGAGTTGAACAAGAATGTAGTTGTATTGCCATTTGGTTAAAAGCTTCAAAAGCTGCTTGGAGCACTCTTAAATGATTGTTTACGTTCGACCAACCACCAACCACAATTTTGTTGCTAAAAATAGCACAAGTGATAGGCACGTTTATATGACCATAAGGCAATGATTATTCGACTGCAAGAGAAGTCACTCAAGATGAGCTTCATATACTTCTCTCATATGATCAAAATATGTATTCAAGAATAGAGCAGATGGAAACAGAAGCGGCTGGCAATCCGGGATCATGAGTTCGAATCTTACTTCGAGAAACCCTCGGTGGAGTAGAGGTTAATTATATATAGGTGTTATTAATAAATGCAAAAAATAATTTAAGACATATATCATATAATCAACGATAACATTTCTAGATAAATTCTCTCAATTAATGATTAGAGAGATTAATTGAAAGAATATCAATCAAAGATTAAACCGATGCTAGTTACTACTTCCTCCATGATCACAGAATGTGAATTATGGCATAATTACATATTTTTTCAATGTGCACAAATAAATTAAATTAATAAAAACTGTACAAGCAATTATTTTGGCGTACCACGACAATTGTTGAACTAATTTTAATCTGTGAATATTGTGAGTACTTACACAACGGTTATTAAGGAGTCATTAAAAAGTGCTATAAACGCTTTTCACCGCTTGCTGTATAGTGATTATTTAGGAGTCATAAAAGAGTGTAACAAACGCCTCTCAGGTTTACTCTCTACTAAATTTCAAAGCAGCTGTCAAGAAGTGTCTACAAACGTTGTATAAGAGCTTTCACCAAAACAATAAAGCTTGATTTTAAATATGTATCTATAAACGTTGTATAAAAGTTTCTTCTATCCGGTTATTGAAGAGTAATTGAAAAGTGTTATAAACGCTTTTCACCGCTTGCTGTTCAATTAATATTTAGGAGTCATAAAAGAGTGTAACAAACGCCTCTCAGGTTTACCAACCGGTGAACACTCGTGTTTGTTTCAGTTACCGTGGGGACGTAATTTGTGATTAGCCCCGGTCCCTTTCAAATTGTATCATTATTTATGTACGGTTCTTATATTTGAAATGACGTTTCATATTCATCTAGGGATGGCCGACTTTCATTCGAATAATCGATTAATCGATTAACGAACCGAAAAGTAAAATATTTGTAATCGGTTATATAATGCCGATATAAGCATTGGCATCTCCAGAGGGTCATCACCGATCGTTTCAAACATGTGCTGCACTCTCATTGGTGGAAAAATGGTAGTACAGTGAACAAAAAAAATCGATTAGTTGTTAATCGAGTAATTAAAAAATAGGACATCTCTGATTTTGGTGTGATTGTTTTGATAAAAATGAGCGCAAAATTTCATCTCTACTGAGGGGGCAGCAAAACCACAAAATTACCTTGAATACGGGGGGTATTCATTGGATGAAAGGGACCGTGAAAGAGGACACTAAAATAGAAAGCTTTTCTTCCGACAGTTTCATCTTAGTATTCATCTTTGGGTTTACTCTCTACTAAATTTCAAAGCAGCTGTAAAGAAGTGTCTACAAACGTTGTATAAGAGCTTTCACCAAAATAATAAAGCTTGAGTTTAAATATGCATCTATATAAACGTTGTATAAAAGTTGCTTCTATCCGGTTGTTAAGGAGTCATTGAAAAGTGCTATAAACGCTTTTCACCGCTTGCTGTATACAATGATTATTTAGGAGTCATAAAAGAGTGCAACAAACGCCTCTCAGGTTTACCCTCTATTAAATTTCAAAGCAGCTGTCAAGAAGTGTCTACAAACGTTGTATAAGAGCTTTCACCAAAATAATAAAACTTGAGTTTAAATGTGTATCTATAAACGTTGTATAAAAGTTGCTTCTACTCCTATACCGCGTATACATATAATGCTGTAGTTGAACAGGTTCTCCCAACCAGTGTAAACAAGAGTTTTACAGAAGTTGTAATAAACAAATTGTACAGTTATTATTCAGCATGCAGTTGAATAAAATCACAATGGAAGCGTTTCTTCAACAAGAAATTGATTTTGGGTAAACGTTTTACTGAATACGTTAGACAACACCTTTGTGTTGCAGTTGTATAGGTTCTCCAAACCAGTGTACACAAGGGTTTTATAAAAGTTGTGGTGAACACACTGTGCAATTATTATTCAACATGCAGCTGAACAAAATCAAAACGAAAGCGTTTCTTCAACTGGAAATTGTTACTTGGGTAGTGCTGGAATCTGAATTAGCTGTATAGAAGGCTTACAATTAGAATCTTATCAAAGTAAATATTGCAGTAGAATTTTTTTTTTCAATCTCAAAACATTATTTTCCGGAACCCCTTACCTTATGAAACAATAACAAACAAAGATTATTCATTACAGTAGCATTGTTGTTAGCAATATTAAGTTCGACTAATCATTCTAATGAGTGTACGATAGCATCGTTGAAAATTGTTTCAATAATTTATAAAGAACAATCATGTAAGATGTATTTTATTGGGAGCGATGTTCATCCCAGAAAATCATGCCAAAACAAATGTTTGCTGTTGGATTTCTTAAAAGGCAAATCTATATGACTATATAATGATTGGGATAGATATTTTTACAATCTTTAAACCTCAAAAATCAAAGGAAGCTATTCCAATGAGATATACATGTTTTTCTATACTGCAAAGTTAAATGACAGTCCAATAGTTTCTACATGTCTGTTTACACGTGACATATCAACAAACGTCAAACATCGTTAAAAGCAACTCAATTATCTTATATGATATATCTTTTAGTGAGCAATATTCATCATGAAAACAGGTATATTTTACTGGATTTTCTCAAAGTGCAAACTTATATGATTTTCCATTAGTTTCTAGATGTCTGTTCCCACCCATGACATATCAACAGTTTTTCACCATGAAATATATCAGACAATATTCATATACATCTTACATATAGCTAACCACGTTCGAAGCAAAGTATTATCAAGTACTAAGTATGTGAAATTACGATAGAAATCATTCCATATCGCAGTCATAGTTTTTAAGTGATAATCCATTGGAATCTATCAATCATCACATAGAATGAATAAATCTCCTGACATTGCTATGTTATAAGATGGATCCAATAAACGGTACGTGTCGATTTGTTTCAGTGCATTGGAATTGCATATGATTTTCATGCATAAACAAAATTAATGGAATTCATCTGAATTTCACATAACATTTATGCGATCACTTTAATTTTATATGATTTTTCATATGAATTTCTTCGGCCTCATAATATTCATGTGATTTTGTGGTGAGATGTGTAGCTACACGGTGTTTCGTGAAAACCCATTTATGGGTAAAAAAATACCCATTTTCAAACCATGTATGCAGCTGTCAAAAAATGGGGGAATTTTGAAATCATAAAATGGGTGAAAAAATACCCATTTAAAGAATCAGTTCACGGTTGAATAATGGGTAGATTTTTTACCCACTAATGGGTGAAAAAACACTTCGAAATTTCATCGTCTCATTTCCGTCACCGATTCATTGGGAATGCAAACAGTTAAGGCCCAAACGCAATATGGACGGAAGCGGAACGGAAACGGAAAGTTTGACAGTTGTCACAAATTACAACAAGTTTTCAATGCGGTATTATAATATTTCGGAACATCTGCATTTATTTTAAATGTATTAGAAAGTTTTTTTACATTAACGAGCGCTTGCATCCTCCATTTGTAAAAATGGGTATTTTTTCACCCATTTTACGGTAGACTCAATATAAGAAAATGGGTGAAAAAACACCCATTTTTTGACAGACCACCCATTTACCCATTTATGAGTAAACCATAGTTTACCCATTAAATGAGGAGGGGCACTTTTAGAGGAAATGGGTATTTTTATACCCATTAATGGGTTTTCGCGAAACACCGTGTATGTGATCACATGAAAGCTATGTGAAATTCACATGGTTTTCATCCATTAGATATGTGATAAATTTTTTGAGTGTATATATCAAGTCGACATTATAATCTTGTACACAAGTTGCACGCGGTCGCATGCACGGTTGTGTGGGTGGAAATTAAGGTTTTGTTTACGTTTTCCTCAAACGTTACCTGCGACGCGTTCTGGTTGTTTCTGTTTATAAATTATAAGTTTCCAAGAGTGTTTTCTATTAGGTGTCTGATTGTGCATTCACAAAATGTCCAACGATAAACGAACTGTGTACGTTGGTGGTCTCTCGGATGAGGTAACCGAAAAGCTCATAAACGATGCATTCATCCCGTTTGGAGACTTGGTCGACATCCAGATGCCGGTAGATTACGAATCGCAGAAACACCGTGGATTCGCGTTCATTGAGTTTGAGAGCGCCGAGGATGCCGCCGCTGCCGTGGACAATATGAACGATTCGGAACTGTGCGGCAGAACCATACGGGTGAATATAGCGAAACCACAGCGTATCAAAGAAGGCAGCAACAAACCGGTTTGGGCGGAGGATACTTGGTTGCAGCAGCATGCCGGAGCTACCTTGAAGAACGAGGATGCAGGTGGAGAAAGTGGAGAGATACAACCCAAAGAACCTAAAGCTCCAGAGGAGAAAAAACGTAACCCGCAAGTGTACTTCGATATCCGGGTAGGGAGCAATGACGTCGGCAGGATTATAATGTCGCTGAGGGCGGATATCGTGCCGAAGACGGCAGAGAACTTCCGTGCACTCTGCACTGGGGAGCAAGGATTTGGGTTCAAAGGATCGACGTTCCATCGAATAATTCCGGAATTTGTAAGTGGATGGGTTGCGGAGGAGGTATGTACATTAAACTAATCGTTTGTTTGATTTTATAGATGTGCCAAGGAGGTGATTTTACCGCTAACAATGGAACCGGCGGCAAATCGATCTATGGGAAAAAGTTTGCCGATGAAAATTTTACGTTGAAACACACTGGCTTCGGTGTTCTTTCGATGGCAAACTCCGGACCGAACACCAATGGTTCACAGTTCTTCATCTGTACGGAGAAGTAAGTGTGGCAGCTATCTTTCTGGAAATGGTTTCGAATTGTAACTCAACGAGTACATTTTATAGGACTGAATGGCTCGATGCAAAGCACGTCGTGTTTGGCAATGTTATCAGCGGAGCGGACGTTGTCCGAAAGATGGAACGGTGTGGATCGAAGAGCGGTAAGATCAATCAGAAAGTAACTATTGTGGCGTGCGGAGAGTTGAAAGGATAGTGGTCAATAAGGTAGATATTATTGTATAAAACTTCACACACTCTTTTTATTGGGATGACAGAAGCCTTGCGTTACATTTTGGGAATTAATGAAACCAGGAAAATCCATACCGAGTAGATGTTGCTTGGGTAATCCTTGACATAAATCCCCAGAGCGAATTCAGTTTTATTTTCAGAGTTCAGGTGGATTCCGGTGCTCTTCACCTGAGCTATAATTGTCGACAGGTTGGTGTATGCAAGGTTGATGGGAAAACCGTTTATTCTGTAGGATGCAAACAGTTGGTTGAACACTTCCAAGTGCCGATCCGTGTATGTGTCCATGCAAACATCCACTTCCATTCCGGATAGTGCATATTTCAATTGGTCACTGATATATCTGCGAAGGAAAGGCGTATTTTGAAAAGTCGCTTTCGTTTGTTCTCGAACAGACTTACCGATTCCATATAGTTTTACGGTGCGTCCTCCATACGGCAATTTTTTTCATGATCTTTCGTTCAATGGTTTTCTGCAGATCTCGAACACTGAGCGAATTCTTGTACAGGAAATTACCATCATGAATGCAACCGGTCGGTGCATCATGTGAGCGATTAAACAGTGGTCTCCAGTAAGCCGATTTACTAACATCCAACTGCGTTAGAAAAACGCGATTCTCCTTTTGTATGTTTCCCCACACGTTGTTCTGATTCACGATGTAGTAGATTCTAGTCAGAGGGTAATACGTGTCGGTGCTGTTGTACCTCCTTCCGCTGATTGGATCAATGATAAAGTATTCGCTTCCTTCGCGCAGCAAAACAAACGTGCTATCCCCGGTCAGGAGACTATGTCCGAGGATCAGATAAACGTCGTATTCAAGGATCATATAGAAACAGGCAAGCAAAACTCCTAAATCCTTCGGGGATGCACACATTATATTGATGATTTCCTGGAAGTATAGACTTTTATGTAGACGGTAAACAAGGAAAACTTCACCACTTACTCTGTTTGTCAGCCAAACGCCTCCTAACTGGGAACAAGCATCTGTATTGTAGTAGACCGGGATCAACGAGATATATCGTCTTATCATCCGTTCGACGTTTTCATCAACGACAAACGGAACGTTGACGGGCCCAAGCAGTCTTGTGACACATACTCGCTTACCACTGAGGAGAGTTACCAGCGGAAATTTGGCCCTCGAAGGGAACTCATTACGATATTCCTCAAACCATAGGTAGATCCGTGCTTTGGTTTGCTCTAGTTCTATACACTCCAACTCGTTGGTATCAAACTTTGGGATCTCCACGTTCGGTTCTAGATTAATGAATAGTGAAATGTGCGTCAGTTCTCGCATATCCGGAAGGCTCGAGCCGATTAGCATCGTGGTATACTCTGGAGATTCGTTGTCGCTGCGTGTGTATCCAAACAAGATAGGAGGCGTTTTGATCTCGAAGGTGCCTTCAATCTTAAAATAAAACCCATGAGTTTGTCAACATGCTACATACCATTAATTGGCTTACCCTCTGATTCAGATAGATGGTACTTATCGGTATTCGCAACTGTCCAAGCCATCTACTGGAGATCCTCTGATAAACTTCGGTTGATCTTGCGCGATCATCCTCCAGCAAGTCCTCCATAAATTCATCATACAGATCAATGTTCAGGTACCTCCTGATTTGGTCGCTATCGGCATCCAATGGAATTGCCAGCTGCTCATTCCAGGTGGGATTGGTGCCATCGGCTGTGGATGTCCGAAGCACCTTATCCTTGATTGAAATCGTAATGTAAGGCCGTACGTTCGATGCACGAATAGCTGAAAATGAAACTTTCCGAATTAATAAAACGCCAACCTCATACCATAACGAGTCTTACAAAATCTCGTCGAGGACATGTTGCTGTTTCGTCGCCCGGCCGACGAAAGCTGGTGGTCATCCGACCTGCTGGGGATGCCAAACGCTCTCACGACCGTAACTACTACTTTGAACTGATTCACATCGGATACTCGTATCGAAGCCCGGCTCATTGGCGATCGCCGCGAAGGCTTCAACGGTCTTCTGGGTCCGAAAATTTCAAAGAACGCCAAACTCAACGACCCAAACGTGGGAATCTGGTCTCCAATCAACAAATTATCGTCGATCTTGTCCTGATTGATCACGCTACAGTGATTGGTTATGGTGTCGTAAACCTTCTTGAGATACTTTTTCCCTCGATGTCGCTGCAAATCAATCGGATCCGTTCCGAGGGTTTCATCGATTATTTTGGTCTCATCTGGGACCTCGACCTCTCGCTCCAACTGTGGTATAAACTTTATATTCTTATACTTCAAGTTGCTGTAGAATCTTTGACTCAACATGTTCAAACGCTCATTTCCGTTGATCTCTTCCTCCGAACAAAATGCTAGCAAATCTTCGTTGAACACGAAAGGTTCATCCTTTTCTTGAAGATCATCTTTTTCGTCGTCCGAATCCTGTTCCCGTTGCCCTTTTTCCAGTGCTTTCATGAGAATCTCTGCATCGGTGTCATTCGGAGCCAGAGCCTGTTCATCGAACCATTTCTGAATCAAATCCTTCGATAGTTGAATCCGCTTCGGTATGTTTCTTCTCTTGGACGGACTCGGAAAGCTAGATCCTCCCTGCTCTAACCATCCTACTTTCAGGTCAACTGAACCATTCCGGTACTCGCTTGCTTTAAAAAGTTTTCCCGAAGAAAATTCATACTGAACATAATCTCCACCCTCAAACAACTCACCGGAGTCGGGTAGCGGAATGAAAATTTCCGCTATCTTGAGCTTTATCTTCAACCTATTCTTCTCGTACAACTCAATATTCATGGTCTCCGGAATCTTCGTTGTCAGCTTAATGGAAAACGAAGTGTTGAAATCAACCAGAAAGTTGTTCTGAAATTGCCTCGACTTCGTGGACGCCACGTGTTTCCCATCGATGAAGAATTTGATTTTGTAGCGCAAATCCTTCTTCAGATTACCGCCCTCAAAACTACTGTCGGGATCTTTTTGTAGCACCAAGTTAACCAGCGGTTCGTCCGCCGTTCGGAAGGACTCGTTGTAGGATTTTTTGAACTCCTGCCTCAGTCGTGCCATGTCGGGTTTCTTGGGCTTCTGTACGGCCACTACTTCGCCCTCATCGATGTTCTGTTCCAGATCACGGAGATAGGATTTGTAGTCCTGCTTTTCCTTGATGTACAGTTGCTGTTCTTCTTCGAGAGTTTCTTCCAGTTCCGTTACGTAGCGGTCGCTCAAACGGGCGTCGTCTTCCTGTTGGTCGATTTCCTTGCTGGTGATTGTCATTTGGTAGCCTTGGTCTGATTTTTTGTCCTGTTATAAGAGGCTGAATGTTAAACTTTGATTGGTATTTTTACTTGGTCTAAGAAATCAAATTGCTAGTTTACGGTAGGGTTATAGTGAAAGCCAACCAGCCACCGGCCACCCGTGGTGCTGTTGCCGTAGTGGTTATAACAAATGTAAACAGCTGTCAAAGGCGACTCGCATCAAAAAATTTCTTTTTTGAAATTAAAAATTTGCCTTTCTCTGTACGTTTTGGTGATCAAAAAGCTTATCAAATTTTTGGGAAGAATAGTTGTTCTATAAAATGGTAAGTTCATCCCACTGCGTCCTAGCAAGAAGTACGGTCGACTTATTTCGCGCTCCGTTAATTTGGAAGTTTTCTCGCTATTATCTGACGTAAATAATCAGTTTTTTCTCGCTTAGTGATTCCTGGCATAATTCCCGATAAATTTATCAAAAAGTGAGGTTTTTTTTCTGAGAAGAAAGTGTGTTTTCGGCATCATCGGAAGGAAAATTGTTTTTGCGATTGCCAATTCGCCAACCATTTTGCGCACCATCGGAGCGTGGTAACGCATACCTGCACACGGATCATCGTCATCGAGTGTCAGCATCTGCCTCCACATTTCAACCGCTCATCCATCATCGTGTGTTCAGCTGAGTGCCGAGCTTCATACAAGCACACACCAACGAAGACCACGCGGATCGAAGATCATCAAAGCTGCGCGTCGCTCCGCTGCTGCTGTGTAAACGCTCGGTGGTAGTAGTATAGGATTATCAGATAAGTTTTTGTTCTTGTTTCTTTCTTTCTCCCATCTGTTAAATTTTAAGTTTGTGTTTCTGTGTTAGTATTTTTTTTTTCGTGTATTGTGTCCGAGTAATTTTGATTATCGTTGCAGTGGTAGAGCGTTTTTCGCTCCCACTAGTACGGCAAAATGGACATTTTGTCGGAAGACGAAATGGACGTTTTGTCGGAAGACGACACCACTTTGCCACGCGATAACAAGAAGGGTCGAAAACGTCTGTCATCCCAGAAATCAGATGATGCCATCCCTGCTTCGTCATCTCAGTCTGGTAATGGACAGGGACAGATAAGCCCCCGATCGCGAGCCTACCCAGAAGACTCGACTGGCCCATGGGTTGTTTACTTTCAGCCCAAAAAGAAACCTTTGAATGTAATGCAAATTACTCATGATCTGACGAAGCGGTTCTCGGCCGTGACCGAAATCTCGAAGGTGAGGTACAATAAACTTCGCGTTGTTGTCTCTAACCTGAAACAAGCTAACGAGATTGCTGCCTCCCAGCTCTTTACACTCGAGTATAGAGTGTACATCCCAGCTCGTAATGTGGAGATCGAAGGTGTGGTCACCGAAGCGAGTCTGACCCCCGAGATCTTGGCGAAGCAAGCGGTTGGCCGTTTCAAGAACCCCTTGCTTCCCACGGTTGAGATACTGGAAGTCCAGAAGCTGAACTCAGTATCTTTCAGCGAGGGTAAAAAGAGCTTTACCCCCACAGACTCGTTTCGGGTGACCTTTTCTGGTTCAGCCCTTCCTCACTACATCGAGTTGGGAAAACTTCGGCTACCTGTGCGTTTGTTTGTTCCTCGGGTCATGAACTGCCTAAACTGCAAACAGTTGGGACATACGGCCTCTCACTGTGGCAGCAAGGCACGCTGTTGCAAATGCGGGGAGAAGCACGAGGATGGCGCCTGCACAGTCACTGCACCAAAATGCGTGTACTGTAAGGGAACTCCTCATGGTCTCTCATCGTGCCCGGCGTACAAACAACGCGGGGAGAAACTAGAACGCTCTCTTAAGGAGCGTTCCAGGCAGTCTTTTGCAGCAATGCTAAAAACAGCCACAACATCAACCAACGACAAAAATCCCTTTGCTGTTTTGTCTGATGACGAGTCTGACTTTGACTTGGCTGAGGAGGGAGTTTCTTTCAGTTTTCCGGAAGGTTCTGCACGGAAACGAAAACGAATCCGTTCACGGAAAGTTGCAGATAAGGAACCCCAAATCAGCTTGCCCAAATCAAGGAGTGATGGAAAAAAGGAAGTTTCAACTCCTCCTGGTTTCCGCAGAACTGACTATAACCAGAACTTTCCATCTCTCCCGGGGACATCAAAAACCCCTGATGGCCCATTTTTAAGAACAGAAGCCCCTTCTTCATCCGGGTTGTTCTCATTTGATAAAATTGTGGACGATATTCTCAAGTACTTCAATATTTCTGATCCTCTCAAAAGCATTGTTCTGGCAATGCTTCCTTCTGTGAAGACCCTCTTGAAGCAATTGACATTGAAGTGGCCCCTCATTGCAGCAATCATTTCCTTCGATGGATAATTTTCCAAACGAGGTCGGGGATTTGATCACTGTTCTACAGTGGAATTGTCGAAGTCTCATTCCTAAATTAGATTCTTTTAAGTTTTTAATTCACAATAATGATGGTGATGCATTTGCTGTTTGTGAAACTTGGCTCTCTTCAGATATCGATCTTCCTTTTTATGATTTTAACAGTATTCGACTGGATCGTGAGGATTCGCGTGGAGGAGGGGTACTTTTGGGGATCAAAAAGTGCCATTCCTTCTATAGAGTGAATCTTCCACAATTTCCAGGTATTGAAGTTGTTGCATGTCAGGCTATTATTAAAGGTAAGAGCCTTTGTATTGCTTCTGTTTATATTCCTCCTAGAGCCGTTGTTAATCGCAAACAACTTTCAGATATCTGTTCGGTACTTCCTGCTCCACGGTTGATTATGGGAGATTTGAATTCCCACGGTACAGGCTGGGGGGAACTGTATGATGACAACCGTTCTACTTTGATATATGACCTCTGCGACAGCTTTAATATGACAATTCTTAACAATGGAGAAGTAACACGTTTGGCTGGCCCATCCTCGAATGGAAGTAGATTAGACCTCACACTTTGCTCTAACTCATTATCGTTGGATTGCACGTGGAATGTGATCCAAGATCCCCACGGTAGTGATCACTTGCCGATCAAAGTTTCAGTTGCCAGTGGGTTCAATCCGTCGGAACCCGTTAACGTCGCGTACGATCTTACCCGTAATATCGATTGGACAAAGTTCAAGAATGTGATAGAAGATGCCCTAACGTCGGTAGAAGGGCTTCCACCGTTGGAGGAATATAACTTCCTCTCCAATCTGATCTTGGACAGCGCGCTTCAAGCTCAAACTCGGCCGGTTCCAGGAACGTCTTTCCGTAGGAAACCTCCTTCCCCTTGGTGGGACCAGCAATGCACTGAGGTTTATCGTAAAAAGTCCGACGCGTTTAAGCTTTTCCGGAAACGTGGAACACCCGTACATTTCGAAGCGTACTCGGCTCTTGAACGCGAACTCAAGAGCCTCATCAAAGCCAAGAAACGCGGATACTGGCGGCAATTCGTGGACGGATTATCGCGCGAAACGTCGATGAATACGCTTTGGAATGCGGCGCGAAGGATGCGTAACCGGTCTTCAAACAACGAGAGCGAGGAGTACTCCGATAGTTGGATTCTCAAGTTCGCGCGAAAAGTATGTCCTGATTCTGTGCCGGCACAGATGATTCCTCGCGAAACGACGAATTCGGTAGACGAGATCAGCCAGCCTTTTTCAAGAACTCTCACTCGCGCTCCTTTCGTGTGGCAATTCGGCTCCGGGGGCTGATCGAATCAAGTTCAACTTGTTGAAGAACCTCCCAGACGTCGCTAAGAGGCGCATGTTGAACTTGTTTGGTCAGTTCCTGGAGCTTAATATTGTTCCGGATGATTGGAGGCGGGTGAGAGTTATAGCCATTAAAAAGCTTGGAAAACCCGCGTCAGATCACAACTCGTATCGTCCCATTGCGATGCTATCGTGTATTCGAAAATTGTTGGAGAAAATCATCCTTTTTCGCCTGGACAAATGGGTTGAGTTGAACCACCTACTCTCAGATACTCAATTTGGTTTCCGTAGGGGCAAGGGAACGAACGACTGTCTCGCGTTGCTTTCCACTGAAATTCAGTTGACTTTTGCTAAAAAAGAGCAAATGGCTTCTGTCTTCTTGGATATTAAGGGGGCTTTTGATTCAGTATCGGTAGAAGTCCTTTCAGACAAACTCCACGCTTGTGGCCTTTCTCCATTAATTAATAACTTTTTGTACAATTTGCTGTCAGAGAAACATATGAGCTTTTCTCATGGAAACTCTACAGCTTCACGATTTAGCTACATGGGTCTCCCCCAGGGCTCATGTTTAAGCCCCCTTCTGTATAATTTCTACGTCAGAGAAATTGATAATTGTCTAAGTGACAACTGCACGTTGAGACAACTTGCAGATGACGGAGTAGTGTCTATGACAGGGCCCAGAGAGGCCGACCTGCAAGGACCCTTACAGGATACCTTAGACAATTTGTCTACTTGGGCTATTCAGCTAGGTATCGAATTCTCCACGGAGAAAACTGAGTTGGTCGTTTTTTCTAGGAAGCATAGCCCAGCACAACCAAAGCTTCAACTTTTGGGTAAGCCGATCACTCATTCTATGTCCTTCAAATATCTTGGGGTCTGGTTCGATTCAAAATGCACCTGGAGATCCCACATTGAGTATCTGAGACGAAAATGCCAACAAAGGATCAATTTTCTCCGAACAATTACCGGAACGTGGTGGGGAGCCCATCCGCAAGATCTTCTAACGTTGTACCGGACAACGATTTTATCGGTTTTAGAATACGGTAGTTTTTGCTTCCAGTCGGCGGCTAAAACGCACATCATCAAACTGGAACGGATCCAGTATCGCTGTCTTCGTATCGCGTTAGGATGCATGCACTCGACTCATACGATGAGTCTCGAAGTGTTAGCGGGCATGTTGCCACTCTCTGATCGGTTTTCGGAATTATCCCTCAGGCTCCTCACCCGTTGTGAAATTATGAACCCACTGGTGATTGCAAACTTTGAAAAGCTTCTTGAGCTAAACCCTCAAACTCGTTTTATGTCATTGTACTACGTGTACATAACACAGGATGTCAGCCCTTCGCAGCATAATCCCTATCGTGTTTGCTTCTCCGACTTCGTCAATTCTGTTCATTTTGATTTATCCATGACGCAAGAGATTCGCGGAATCCCAATCATCGTTCTATGATTGCTCCGTCAATTTTCGCTGCAAAGTTTGGCCAAGTTGATTCCGCAAGATCGTTCTTCACAGATGGATCACTAATAGAGGCGTCCGCAGGTTTTGGTATTTATAACGAATTTCATAGCGCCTCTCGAATGCTTCATGCTCCTTGTTCCGTATATGTTGCTGTTCTGGCGGCAATACATTATACGCTAGAAACGATCGCCTCACTTGCACCAGATCACTATTTTATTTTTACGGATAGTCTCAGTTCTGTCGAGGCTATTCGATCCATGAGGCCGGTAAAGCACTCCTCGTATTTTCTCATGAAAATACGAGAGCTTCTGAGTGCTTTATCTATAAGATCTTTTGTCATCACCTTTGCATGGGTCCCATCTCATTGCTCGATTCCGTGCAATGAGAAGGCGGACTCGCTTGCAAAGGTGGGCGCTATGGAAGGCGATATGTACGATCGACAAATCGCCTACAATGAATTTTTCTTCATTTATCGTCAACAGTCGCTCGCTAGCTGGCAAAATAAATGGAGTGAAGGAAGTTTGGGACGATGGCTATTCTCAATCATCCCTAAGGTGTCGAAGAGTCCTTGGTTCAAAGGTTTGGAGGTGGGTCGAGACTTCATTCGTGTGATGTCTCGCCTCATGTCCAATCACTATTCACTAAGCGCTCACTTGTTCCGTGTTGGGCTGGGGGACAGTAATCTCTGTGAATGTGGACAAGGTTACCAGGACGCAGATCACATTATTTGGTCATGTGCTGAGCACCGTGGAGTCAGATCCGAGTTGTACGATTCCCTTCGGGCTCGAGGTAGACAACCTAATGTTCCAGTTCGGGATATTTTGGCTAGACGCGATCTGGAGTTTATGCAACTCATATATGTTTTCTTGAAGAATATTAACCATAGATTGTAAGTTTGATTAACCTTGTTTTTAGTTTGTATTTTGTATGTGTGCGTGTGTTTTTTTTGTAGATTTGTTTCTGTAATAATTGTATAATTACAGAGTTGATATAACGTAAATAGGATTAAGTATATGTTTTACAAATAGTGAAATTTTTGAATCATAAATCATATTTCAAATCTCCTTTTCCCTCTCCCGATCCAAACAATTGTCATCCACTAACCTCGAGAAGACCGCGAGTAATCGGTTCAAATCCTTTAATTTTAGATTTAAGACATTTATAATGTATAAAGAAAATGATAGCTTGGCTCTGTAAAGTTTATTCGATTGAACCTGTACAAATAAAGTAATTAACAAAAAAAAAAAAAAAAAAATGGTAAGTTGCTTCAATAATATATTTGCTTGCAATCAGGAAAAACGTTGATTTTTAGACTACGTACGCAAGCTCCACCGCTTAACATTTTCTTTGTTGTTGCAGGTTCGTTGCATTATCCTGGGATGCAACACGCAGAAAAATGGATTTTTGTTTCAGGGCCTAATGTATTTTGTTATTGATTCAAACATATTGTATCACTATTTCAACAAAACATATTTTTGAATCAACGAAATGGTTTTTAAAATCAACAAACAGATTATTGACTCTAAAACCAGTTTGTCGATTCAAAATTATATTTCTTTGAATCAACCGGATAATATATTTGAATCAATACCAATAACATATTAAGCCCTGAGCCAAAAATATATCCATTTGAATTTAATAATCATTTCTCTGCGTGAACGAGGGCGAATTTCCACTTTTTGGGGTTCTGAACTCGGGGAGCAACAAATTTGTGCAGTAGAGAAAGATTGCGTTTACGGAACAGGGACAGAGCGGATATGCTCCCATCATTTTGTCGATGCAGACTTTTTAGAACATAAGTCCTAAAGTTTGTTGTCGTGGGGTAATTTAAGATTAATTTCATGTGACCGCTCCCCGGGATGCGAACTTTGTAGCACAAACCCATTCCCCTCAATTCTTGCTTTGCTGCTGTAGCCCAGACACACAATATGCTAGGTCTCTAAATCCGCTAGCATGGAGTCCCCAACATAATCTAACAATCATACAAAACATAACCTAAATAATATCGGCACAAATGAAGTGACAGACGATTAATTGGTGAAGAAATCAATTAAAATAATGTGGTTCAACGAATAGAATTTTCCTAGAAGCTTGTGCCATCAGCCACCAGATGGGCTAGTATTTTTCTTTTGATTTGCTCAAAGTTGATTTTGAGTAGAATGATCTTTGACAGTGTGCAAAGAGTGCATCATTTTGTCATTTTTTATGCATTTCAGTTTTGAGCAGAGTGAAAGAGATAGAACCAAAACATTCTAGTATATTTGGTGAAAATACTAGTACAATCCAGTAGTAGTGTAGCCATGTGGTACACTGAAAAATTGCAATGGCAGGTTCGTCTCCATAGTCCGTCATTTCGTAGATGAACATTAAAATTCAATATCAGTTTTGATAACTAATTACATGCATTTTATTGAATTAGTCACATTTCACTATCACTATCAACACCACAACCACGATATTACAATATTTTAAACCGAAAAATTTGATTCTGGTTAATACAATGCAAAGTATGTTGGTTACAACAACTTTTTTTCATTACAACCGGTTTTCGTATAGGATCGTCCCACTGTGCGCACTGGCTTGTGTCACAAAACCTTGAATTTTTATTTTGTTTAACCTTGCAATGTGTATCCCGTGTCATGTAAATGTATTGACCAGCATAAAACGCCCACATGTAACTCACCTTGAGATCCTTCCAAATCTCCACTATCTGTTTCTCCAGCTGCCGTTCGGCTTTCGCTTCTTTGTAAATTAGTTTGCGTAGCTCTCGGCGTTGCATCTTGAAACCCACATCTTCCTGTTCCGTCTGTTGATTTGCTTGCCGCAAGTCGTCCAGCTTGTGCTGCAACACGGGAATCACCTGCAATTTTCTGTTCGTATAGTACTGCCTGTAACACTGTTCCAGCTTCAGTCTCATTCGCACGATCTCGTCAAACGATGGGTGATTCTCGAAGCGTAATTTCCCAATTAATATCTTCACCGTTCGTTCCATGGGCAGTTGTTCTGCCGTTTCGGACATTGGCATCGGCTCCACAAAGTATGGCACGAACTTTTTTCCGCAAACTCCCTTTACCCGTTTGTCGGTTATGAAATTCTGCAGGTTGGCCAAATCGCCACTGGCATCGAACCATTGCTCTTGCTCTTCTTCGATCAGTCTGTTGATCATACGGGATTTATTGGCTTTGTCGAGAGAAGGCTTTGCGGGAATGCTCACTTTACTCGCACTCTCCGTGTCAGAGTGGATAGTGACTTCCTCGAGAACTGCCCTGGTAGCTGATAGCGTTTTCGATGGAATGAAGAGTATATTTTCATCGTCAAAGGTAATTTTTCCTAATTTGTACTGTTCAATCACCTTATCCTCTTCGGGTTGCACGAATGACGAAGCCAGGTGTGCCGGCGAGTCCTGAGCATTGGAAATGGTTTGAATTGAGGGTGACTTTTCATGCGGAACGGAATCGGGTTGCGTATCCTCCTCGAGTTGCTCGTGTGCATCATAGTAGACCTCCGGTATGGAATCTACGAAAAATAGCACTTCCCGCTCGTAGTCATTCAATCGGTTGCCTTGATCGTCGATTCGGAAGCGCTCCAATGATGTTTTGATTTCCTGCTCCTCTTGAATGTAATCAGGATTTAGTTGCGGTTTTGGTTTTCGCACGATCGGTGGAGGTTCGGTTGGTGGGTCAGGTGGGGCTGCAATATTGGGTTGGAGTTGTTTCGTGGCTTTCGATTGCGATTGTCGTTTCCGGTGGCGAGCACGTGTACGACGTTTCCGGGGCGATTTTGGCTTTAGGTCAGCCATTATGGGATAGAATTGTACTTTTAGTTCCAAACTGTTTAAACTGATGCAAAGTTAACGTTGAGTGTTTAATATGTATATTTGTTTTTGTTTTGTCGTGAAGTGCCGATGTTTGTCCTTGTAGGTTGCTTAGCACCCGTTACGTTACCACAGCGATGACGAATTTTGGTCATACCTAATGGCCATTGATACCGTTCTGATTCATATTTCGAACACTTTATAATTATATATTGAAATACCTATAGACCAATATGATATAAACATTAGAAATAGATCACGCTTGTTCCTTTAGTCAGTCCCCGGTTTTAAAATCATTTATTATAGGTATCACTTCTGAATGGCAACAATGCTGGCGAAAATATTAACACGCTTCCATTATTCTTAAAACATAGAGTGTCCGAAATATGAATCACAATTTTTTACTGTGAAAAATGGAATTCATGTTTCGGGAAAGACAGATTTTTTCCTTCATTTAATAATTTCATAATATTAAACGGCATTAAACATGAAATCGAATAAAACGTAGGTATAATAAAGGAATAAAATAAGATTATACAGTGATTGCTATCGTATGTAGCTTGAAAAACCATATACAAAATTGGGTGTCCGAAATTTGAATCTCCTTAAAGACAAGTGTCCGAAGTTTAAATCTTGGTAGCCCTAATTAAATAACACTTTTTTTTTCGAAAAGGTTTGATGTTTACTTTAAAATATCATGTCAGATAGCTCAAATTTATGGATACTTAGCAATGCATCGAAGAAACGACACTAAATAATCTGTTACCATTAAGTATATGTCCGTTTTCAGCAGCACATGCCGTAAGTGTCCGAAATATGGATCAGAACGGTATATTAATTGTCATGCGACGTTTTGTACGATTTTGCTTCATTCATCTTTTGCAGCTAAGAGCAACCGTACCAGTCGTTGCCATTTGCGGCACTATTTTACTTATGCACAGCGTTTCCATTTTGGCTTAATCACTCCTCTCAACACCGGTCGTTGCGATAAGAGTCATAATTTAAGTTACCGTTTTCCACACCGGCAAAACAAACTTTTGACATAGTTGAAGATGCTAATTTCAAATAACAGACTGTAGTGGTAATTTTTATACGATAGATGGACTAGATGAAAGCATAGAGTTGATAGTTCCGTTAGAGTACGGCAGTGTGAAGATTGCATATAGATATTAGAACAGCGAGCTAGGACAATTTTCAAGGAAGTTACAAATCGGTTTTTTCATCTCTCTTTACCAAACTCCCCCTTTGGAGAGGGATGGTGAGGGGTGTCCCCCCCCCCCCGCCCTCACTGGCAAAAAGAGATGAAAACCGACCGCTCAAGTACCAACTGCGTGTTTGAAACAGTTCTACCGATTTTTTACCGCACTACGGTTGTTATTTGAAGGAAGGCATCGTAGGTTTGGAAATTGCAACTATTGTTTACCCCTACCACGATATGTGCTCCTGTCATCGTCGACTTGACGATCTCGAGGGGACACGGGTGGGGTAGGTGCTGCAACTGTACCTTTGGACCATTGACAGTAATTGATGTAATATTGTGTATGTAATATTTTTGGAATCGGTCAACTGGTTCTGGAGATATGGCCGGAATAAGTTCCAGGGTATATGGAACATGGACCTAATTTTGACATGAAAGGAATAAAACCTATCATGGCACACTTCACATTACTTCCAAATTCGATAACTAGATCAATAACAAAATTGAGTGCCTTGGACCACATTGGCGACTTCCGGGCATGTTCTGGGTGCCCCCGGGGAATTTAAGGGCTTAAAATGACAGAATATCAGAACTCAATTCCGCTTTTATAGTTTTTTTTTCTCCTAGGAGTTTTTTTTTCGGAAATAAGTTTCGGTTAGCAATTTTTAGTTTGTTAACATTTTATTTCAAGTTAATTCACACACATAAGGTGTATGAGAAGTGCTTAATGTAAATTCATATTAACAGATTCTTTCGGCGCTTTCGTGGTAGTTCGGAAATTGGTGGTTACCCTTTCAGCCAGCCTGACGATGGAAGTCCTCCTTTAAATTTACGCCCAACTAGTGACTCAAGGTCTTTAGCAGCTTCCAAGACCCAACCCAACAAACAATTCAAAGTCACAAATAAGCATACACATTGAATAAATACTGTATAGCAGTGTTCAATGCTGAATAAAACAGGATGTCGAATTATGTGCTGAAAAAAGCTCATTGAGATCGATAGATGCGCTTTTATTCTGCCGTTTGCTCTGATATGATTAATTTCCTTATTTAAAGCTTTATAAACGTTGACTGTCTTTCTTATTCAGAACCAGAAGTTTGATCTACTAACAAACTGAATAAGTGTAATTTGCACATACATTGTCGCTTTTATTCGACTGTTTTCAAATGATTGAATAAAATGCTTTATTAAACGTCTTATAAATGTTTTCTAGCTCCATTATTAGATTTCAATGCATTGCTTTATAATATTGCTGTATAAAGGTGAATACACTCAGCAAAATAGCTCTTATACCACCCAACAAACAATTCAAAGTCACAAATAAGCATATATATTGAATAAATGCTGTATAACAGTGTACAATGCTGAATAAAAAGAGTTGTCGAATTATGTGCTGAAAAAGCTCATTGTTCCACTGTTTGCTCTGATCTGATTAATTTACTAATTAAAAGCTGTAAAAGTGTTAAATGTCTTTCCAATTCAACGCCAGAAGTACGATCTAATAACAAACTGAATAAGTGTAATTTGTACATACATTGACCCTTTAATTCGACTGTTTTCAATTGATTGAATAACATGCTTTATTAGACGTCTAATAAATGTTCTCGAGCTCCTTTATTAGATTTCATTGCATTACTTTACAATATTGCTGAATAAAGGTGAATACAGTCAGCATAATAGCTCTTATACCACTATGCGTCCATGTTGTAATCACATGATTTGTAAATGCTTTATAAACGACGTATTAGATTCATTATTCGACAACACTGATTCAGTCTTACAACAAGGCGAAATCAGTAGAGTAATGGTTACCGTTTCCACTTTCCAATTAGAAGGTCGTGAGTTCAATCCCAAGCTCAACCCTTTTTTTATTATTTGTGTAGAACATAACTAATTTAAATAGTAATCATCGATCACATGACTAACGATAGTGAATGCACAGACAAACAGACGTAACTCTTTGAAAAACTTGTTCTTGAAAACATCGTATCTCAAAACATATAACCTCAGTAGCGACATCTCTCTGGCTTCTCGCGGAAAACAAGCTTGCTCGCTAACTCGTAAACAATATTGCATAAAAGTTCTATAGAATATATAGAAACGTCAAAGTTATCCGATGCCAGCGCTGCGGCGAGTAGTTCGCGGAACTGATAATATTCAAATCAACCGTTAAATGCATGAACGAAGATACACAATGAAGAGTTACGTCTGTTTGTCTGTGGTGAATGCATTGATCTAGTTTAAAATATAACCGAGCATCCTTTCTTTCGACTTGGAGATGTGAAGAGGCAACATTGGTCTCATTTAAAACAACGATGAATGAATTAATCATTCCCATAGGGCCTTGAAGGAGCTAGTGTTGCGATCGGGTGTGCTGATAGGTATTTACTTGCATGCAAGCTTTTATAGATTATTGAGTTGCCCATATGATGAATTCTGATTCTGATAGCTCAGATGACAAGGCAAGCGGCTGGTGATCGGAAGGTAAATGGTTCGATTCCCATACAACGGCATGTATAAGTATTTAATAAATTTTCTAATATCTGTGTGGTGCGAGCCACGTCAGAAATATTGAAATACAATACACTTAAGAAACACACACACCCTTCCCTTGTCCCAGTCCCCCCTGTCCTCTTATTTTCGGGTTTATTTTCCCACAGTTGAATAATCGTTTAATAAATGTATTATAATGTCTAATTAAACGTTACTTCACATGATAATCAAACGTATACAGAGCATCACTGTTTTAAGGAAGCAGTGATGTCTAATAAACGCTGAATAATCAATAAATTTATCGTATAAACTCTGTTACAACTCTCATATAAGTCGAATAAAAGCTTCTCGACATACCTTATACAACACCAGTAGTTCAATGTTGTGGTTGAATAAATTCTCCAGATTTGTGTGTTTAGTTATTTTTTCAATCGAAGAAACTGATCACTCGGCCAAAACGAAATCGAATTTCAAATCAGCTGCGCATGAAGGATGTACACAAACCGAAGCGCACCTAGCGGCCGTCTTAGGAAACACATAGGTCCAACCATCATCATGCGTAGGTCCAACCATGATCATATTTATCTTTTCGAATTTCGTCAATTACTCAAACATTTTAGTGAAACCAATGGATAAATAACGTACTTACGTGTTGTTTACACCTTAAAGCAGTATTTTACTGCATGAAAATAAAAATAAATGTAAAAAATATTCCTTTTTTGTATGTTTGAAAGTAAGGCATGATGACGAGCTAATGCGTGGAAAGTGAACTGTTTTGAAAACACATTAAAACTCAATTGTTTTGAAGTTTTTTCAATAAAACACCCATGCAAATTGAAGAAAAGGAGTTTTTTTATGATAGTAAAGTGATCTTTGAAAAAAATTAGCGAAGGTTGACTAAACTAGCGATTGAAAAAATAGGTCCAACCATCATCAGTTACCCTACATTCAGTTGACGTTGAAGAAAGTGACAGTCAGCAATGGAGCAGATTCGTAATAGGTTTTGAGGTCATCTGCATATGATAACCGAGGAGCTTCGATGACCAGATGCACGTCGTTGAAGTACAGTATAAAAATTAACGGTCCCATGTGGCTTCCCTGAGGTATACCTGATGTGGCGAAGAAGCTAGCTGATCTGCAATCTCCTATGGCAACCTTTAGTTGCCGACCGGTAAGATATGATCGAAGCCAACTCAGAAGATTACCGCATACACCGAGCCTGCCGAGTTTAGCAATCGCAATAGCATGGTTCAACTTGGCGAATGCTGCGGATAGGTCTGAATAAATAACGTCA